GTTTTGAGGTATATTGTGAAAAACTAATAACAGTAAACCGTTTTCAGGATGGATTGGAGAAAAAAATTAAGATCTGACTCTTTACTTTTGCTTCTAACCATTATAGATTAATAGGAATCTGATTTAATCTTCTGTCTTAAACAACTAGAAACTGGACAAAAGTATTAAAAAAAAATATTATTCAGCCATTGGATAAAAGGCAGCACAGGTCTGTGATACCCAAGGGAAGGGTAATTAAAAACCAGTCCTATTACTGTGCCAGCTTACTGCCTGGAGGCAATATCCAGATCCCAGAGAAGGTCTGGAGAACCCACGTAGAGTCCAGCCATTGTGCTGAGTTGTAGAGACTGAAATCAAAGTTCAGGAAAGCCTAGAGGTCTAAAATTTTCAGACAGAGTACCAGGAAGGAAGGAAAAAATGAGAGAGAGAATGAGCATAAACACTGGAAACTTACAGAGGCGTTTCCTCCAGTGTTTGGTAAAGGACTACACTGTACTTGTATGAGAAGAAACAAGCAAAGGTCAAGGAAAGAAACACCAGAAAGGAGTATGATAAACAATTCCCAGAACTCACATAAGTCTGGGGACACTGGGTATTTCCCCCAGCTGCAGTGGAGAGGCCACTTAATAGGCATTTGTTTGAGTTCAAAAAATTGTATTTCTTTAGGAATGGTGTTAAACTAGCCCTAGACAACAAGCTGCTCTGTACCTTTTTAAAAATAGCTTGTAATAAAGTCTCAAAAGGAACTTAATTGTGCCATTACAAAGTCATACACCACATGAAATCCAGCACACAACAATGTAAAACTCAAAATGTCTCCCATCCAGGAAAAACCTAACAGACATGTGAAAAGCAGTATAACATGAGTCATATCCAGGAGGAAAAAGAAAGTCCATTAATAAAAACATACTCTTAAATGACAGAGATGATAAAATTCATGTATAAGAATATTAAACAACTAATATTAATATTCCTCATAAATGCAAGAAGGTAGAAGAGAGCATAAATACGGTGAGAAAAGAAATGGTAGATACAAAAAACACTCAATGGAACTTCTAGAGAAGAAAAATGCATTATCTGAAATAAAATACACTAGATAAGGTATAGCAGATTAAATATTATAGAAGTAAGTAAAGGTTGGTGAACTTGACAATATAGCAATAGAAGTTAGTTGATTGCAAAATGAAAAACAGAGTTAAAAAGACCTAAAGAATAAATGAAAGCCTTAGTAACCTGTGGTACAAAAGCAAATGGTCCAACACATATGTAATTGGAGCCCCAGAAGGAAAGGGGGAGGCAACAAATATTTTTAGAAGTAACTGTTCTAAATTTTCCAAATTTGACAAAACTCTGAAGACTGCCAATGAACACAAAACCAAAGAAGCATAACAAAAGTCAATTGCTAAAAATGACTGAAATGAGGAAATCATAACAAAAGCTGGATAAAATAGCCACAGTACACAGGGAGGAACAAAAATCAGAATTACAACAGACTTCTCCTTAGGAACTATGCAAATGAAAAAAAATTGAGTGACATCTTTAAAGTATCAAAGAAGGAAAATTTTTAACTCAGAATTCTATACTCAGAAAAAAATTTCTTTTAAAAACGGAGGTGAAGCAAACTCTTTTTCAGCCAAATGGAAGCTAGACAGTTAATCACTAGCAAATCTGTAATAAAGTAAATTTTACGGAGGTTGTTCAAGGAGAAGGAAAATGATAACAGATGGAAATTTGCATCTACACAAAGGAATAAAGACCACCGGAAACAGAAATTATGTGGATAAACATAAAATGCATTTTTATTCATTTTTGTTTTTCTTTAAAAGGAAATTGACAGTTTAGAACAATGTAATAATGTGCTATTTTAATGTATGTAAAGAAAATGTATGACAATTGTATTTTCTTCTGTAGGTTTCTCTAGCCTCAGTTCCTATAGGACAGTGTGACAAGGGCCAGGTGATGTCTGCATATGCAGTAGCTTGGGTTACAGGAGAAGAACTTTGAGCCTCGGGAACACAAGTCTTTTATAATTAGTTGTAAGCAAACCTGTGTCACCTTTTTTTCCTGGAGGGAGACATGATTTTTATTAAAATATACAGCAAATAAATCTACTCTTTGCTTCAGGGGAAGCACCATTCGTATCTTCCAAGGCTGTTTGCTTCTAGATAGAAGTCTTCCGAGGCTGTTTACAACTCAGAATCCTAGAAAAGATAATTTAGCATAAAAGGACAGTTAGTTATGGCCTCTGCTCTCAAGGCTGAAAAAATGTGAAAAATATATAGAGACTTTTCTCCTAATGAAAGGCAATCTGTATACTAGGAGAATATGTTTTTAAAAATGTATCTAAGAAAGGACCTGTATCCAAAATATATAAAGAGCTATTAAAACTCAATAATAAGACAAAAATATTGGTAGACATTTTGAACAGATATGTCACCAAAGATGATATATGGGTGGTATGGCATATAAACATATGAAAAGATACTAAATAAATTATTAGAAAAATTCAAATTAAAACTGCAGTGATGCACTATGCACCTCACTAAAATGGCTAAAAGTTTGACAATGTGAAGTATTGCTACTGGTATGTTTTGGAAAACAGTTTGGTAGTTTCATATATAGTTAAATATATGCTGATCCCCTCCTAGTTATTAATCCCTGAGAAAATAATATCAACACAAAACATATACACATATTTATAGAGGTTTGTTCATAATATCCTCAATCTGGAGACAGTCCGTATGTCCTTCAGCTGAGGAATGTGTAAACAAATTGTGCCATACCATGCAATGGACTACATCTCAGCTATACAAAAGAAAGAACTGTTGATACACATAACATGGACAATTTTCAAAAGTATTATGCTAAGTGAACAAAGTCAGACAAAAATACTGCATGATTTCATTTAAACGTGTACTTGAAAAGGCAAAACCAGTGTCAGAAAGCACTTCATGGGTTGCCGGAGTTGGGTGTGGGGTGTTGACTACAAAGGGGCATGAAAGAAGCTTTTAGGATGAAGGAAATACTCCACATTTTGATTATGGTGCTGGTGACACGAATTACTTCCTTAGAATTGCTGAATTTTATTATGTGTAAATTTTACTTCAATCAAGCTGTTAAATTAGGAGTGTGACTCTATCTTAGAAAATATCAGAGTTGACTAACCAATCATATTTTTTCTTTTCACAAGCATGTTTTTAGTGTTCATAGTAGCTCTTTTTTTCTCTCTCTTTCTTATAAATGAATAATAGCAAATTGTCATGTCATGAGGTTTTATTATATATTTTCAAAATCACTGATATTAAAATCTAGCCTGGTTAGGATTCTCTTACTGCCTTCAACTTAAGCTTGGCTTTAAAAGGCAGTATGTTTTAGGAGTCATTGCTGCTTTTCCTGTTAGGTTTGATGGGAAAAAATGACTATAAATTTATCTCATTTTTATTTTCAGGATTTTACCGAGTTCAGTTATGTTAACCCTATGATCCTGGCCAATGTCTTCAATTACGCCTCTTGACCTTACCTCAATAATTCTCAAGGCTATTATATTTCTAATAACATTAATACCTAACATTCATTGAGCACTTACTGTATAGTAGACTCTGTTCTAATGACTTCATCCATTTATTTTCTTTAATTCTCACAACTACCTTGTGAAAGAAGCACCGATTTTTTCCCATTTTACGGAAGATGAAACTGAGTCATAGCAACTGCCAAATTCATACAGCTAGTAAGTGAGGAAGCAAAGATTTGACTACAGGCAGTCAAGCCTTTTAGAGTCCATTCCCTGAACTGTAAAGCTACAAATTAAGTAAAATACAGATCATAAATTTTAGTGTCTAGGAGAATCAATCAATTTATTTAAATTCAGTTCTCAAACTTCTCCCTCTCCCTCCTGATTCTTATTTGGTAGATTTGGGATGAATTCAGGAATCTATGTTTTTAGCAAGCACTCCAGGTGGTGGTTTGTTGAACCCAGTTTGAGAAACCCCATTTTCTGTGACCTTAAGCTAATTACTTCTAAGGGCCTTTGTCTCCTATTCAAAGGTGGATTCTTTTAGGATGAAGTGCTTGCTCAGTAACTGCTATGTAGTACATTTCCCATATGTATTGGCTCTAAATATTTTTATTATCACCATTATTAAATTTTAAATGATTACTATATATCTGGTGCCCTGTTCTCTGTATTTACTATATTTCCATCACCTAGGCAGGCATAATCTGCTGAATGATTTAGCAGCTTTAGCTGCTGTTGCATGAATTTAACCTGATTTCATGGGATGAAACAGAATGAACACCGTGGTTCATGGCTGTCAGTAGTGAAAAATAGCTGGAAATCAGACAAACAGCTTCATTGCTGAGATTGTTTCCGGGCTAAAAGTTCTTCCAACAGCTGTTTGTTTTGGCCATTAATCGTGTCCATTCTTTTTTTTTTTTTTTTTAAGCTGGGGGAAATACAATTTTCTTTAAAAGGAGAATGCAGGCTGGTTATTTCTGAAGTTAGGAAGGATGCCTGTCCTTCCACTATTGTGGTCTTTTGGCTGCTTTGACAGTTGGACTGAAGGGCTTTCCTTTTGTTCTTTTTCACTCTCAGTGCTCAGACTCAGACTGTGTAGTGAGAAGAAAAGGTAAAACTAGGAGCTCTTTAATCCTAGAGAAGGGGCTTTGTAGCAGTTACCTTCAGGAAAAGTTTCCTCCCCAAAGGAATATTTAATATTACATGGACACTGAACAGAGAGAGAGAGAGAGACTGGATATATGAGAGAATGAGAATATGAGAATTCAAGCCAGCAAGAAAGAAACTTAACTAAAGATGAAGGGGAGTTTTGCCTCTTCCTGAAAGTTATATTATTAGTTGTATTTTTTTCTTTTTCTTTTTTTTAAATCATGTTGACTGCTAGTTTTGTTTAAAGTATTTGTTCTGGAAATACTAAAGTTGGAGTCTACCAGACTGAGGTTAGAAGCATTTTCTTTGGCAGCAAGAAGATACTTTTATAGAAGCCATGCCTGTACTTGGGGTTGCCTCAAAACTGAGGCAGCCAGCTGTTGGGTCAAAGCCTATTCATACTGCTATTCCGATACCAAATTTTGGCACTACTGGGTCACAGCACTATTCTTCGAGACCTCTGGAACTTACTGAATCAGAGAGCTCAATGCTGTCTTGTCAGGTCACATTACAATCAGCCTGTGAATTTGAAGAGAAGAAACCCCTCCAAGGAAAAGCTAAGGAGACAGAAGACAGCAAGGTTAGTGGCTGAAGGTTACCTACAGACCTATAAAGCTGAAATGCAAACTTCCTTTTAGGTAGAATATAAAACATGCTGTGAAGTGGGGAGTAGTAGAGGAATACCGGTGTAAGAAAGTAAGTAGTTTGAAAAGCTGAATATTTAGCATATGCAGAACTGTATTTATAACTTATGGTTGTAAAAGTTGTGAACGAAATTCTCTGAATATGCCTGTGTTATCAGTACTACTTATTGATGAAGTGCCTAGTTAAATCCTAGATAACTCTCTTACTGATAACTGTAATTGATCACAAATATGAGGAAAAGGGGAGCTATTTTTCAGATATAAAGCAAAAAAAAGATTTATTTGTGAAAACTAGTACAGACACCATCACTTTTCTCTAAATGTCGTTTGCATTTTAGACACTTTCTGATTGAATATGTGAATCCTAGCCTGCTTATTAATTCATTGTAGTATGAAGGAAAATGAAGTATGATTTTCCTTGATACTGCACATTTGTCTGGGTTTTCACTTGTAAATTGAAACCCTACTCTTTTACTTATTACTGACATCTTTTTCAATCATTTAATTTATGACATTTGTGAGCAGTAGCTCATAGCTTTTGGGTTTTAAGCCATACTACACTCATTTTCTCCAGATGCTGAGGGGTAGCATGGCCCTTCAGTTGGTGAACTTCACGGGGATTCCTTTGTACCTTGATGAGCATCACTTTTTAATGCAGCATTAACTATGACATCAAGCTTTACAAAGTCACCATTCTCACCTCTGGCTCCTTGGGGAATGATTTGATTTTACTCTCCCGCCCAAATGTAATTTAAAATAATTTAAGAAAAGGCTTCATATAGAAATCAACTCTACAAGTTAAAAAGGAAGTCACGCTTTTTGTCTGAAATGTCCATTCAGTCTTCACCTGTTCAAATCCTCTCAGGTGCAGCCCAAATGCAGGTTTCTTCATAAAGTCTTTGCTAGTTACCCTTTCCTTTCCTGTGGTTATTCATCTGTAATAATGCTTACGACACCTTAATTTATATTGCGTTTTAATTATTTGGATAATTTATTTCTATCCCCACTAAATTGAAAATATATAGAACCTGGGACCTTATTCTGTGCTACAGCTCCCTCTCCTCAATGCTTTAGGCATAACAATTAGTAATTGAATGGATTGATACATGAATGAATGAATCAATGAATGAACAATTATACTGAGAAAGATTTAGTTATGTTCATTAGTCTCTTTGGATCATTCAATCTATAAAATGTAAGGTTTAGAATGAATGATTTTTAAAGTACTTCTAGTTCTAAAATTATTCCTTTTGTGTTTTAGGACAACACTATCTACCCAAGAAAAAATCAATTAAAAGAAAATAGTTAATTTTAGGCTTAGAGTTCTCAGTCCAACATAAGCAATTCAGGGTAAAAGTAGGGAAGTGTAAATTATCAATAAAAGACTAACAATATTTAACTTTATGCAAATAATTAAAACAAATGCATGCTGTTTTCTAATATTCTGTATACCCACAATGACTTGTCTGGATTAGATGGAAGAGAAACCACTTTTCTCTCCTGACCATGGCTGTCATCTCTGCAGGTTTACTCAAACTTGTACTTTCATAAATGGCCTTGGCCTAAGACTTGACCACTGTAAGTACTATTTACAATAGAATTTTGGTTGGTCTCTTTGGTTAGCAAACATATTAATCATACATCTGATATTCCAATAAGACTCTGTGGTAAGCAATGTTGTATTTATAGAGATGTTTTTACCATGCTGCTTATCAGATGGAAAACTTTTTCAAACAAATGTAAAGAATACCTGGTCAGCATTTCAGAATATTTCTAAATGTTAGAAAAGAATTAAGATTTGTATAAACTTCTGAAAAAAAAATAGAACTAAAGAAAACAGCAAAAATGATCAAGGTCGTTGTGTTAGAGAAAATTAGATTTGGCTGCAAATAGTAAAAAAAAAAAAAAAAAAAGTCAACATAACAGCATAAATAAGATAGTTTATTTCTTTTTCATTTAGAGGATATCTGGAAGTAAGCTATCCATGACTGGTATGGTGACTTCATGCAATTGTCAGGGAACGAGGCTCTCTCTTTTTGTCCACTGACGTCATTTTGGCATCCATCTCTCAGTCTTGAGTGGATAATTGAGTTACACTCAATTAAAAAGACACATCCTGGGCTTCCCTGGTGGCGCAGTGGTTGAGAGTACGCCTGCCGATGCAGGGGACACGGGTTTGTGCCCCGGTCTGGGAAGATCCCACATGCAGCGGAGCGGCAGGGGCCATGAGCCATGGCCGCTGAGCCGGCGCATCCGGAGCCTGTGCTCCGCAACGGGAGAGGCCACAACAGTGAGA